GGGGGGGGGGGGAGGGAGTGGGACAACACTACAATCGGTGCGAGAACTCCCTCGACAACGGTATTGGATACCTCAAGACGGGGGGGCGGCTACGATGCGCACACCACGTGTGAACCCTTATCCCCCAAGTCTAATGCGCGGCATGGACGACACTCTACGGTGTATGTTTCCAGGAAGACTGTGTACTGTTTTCTCACCAATTCCAGGTCTTGCGAAGTGCAGATATGACCGCGAGCCGAACGTGGGGCTTCGCCGCCATACACATCGATGCCGTTAAACCGAATGGATCTAAAAGATCCACGACCGCCGAGGTCCGGCGTATTCAGGGTGACCTGGACTATGCCAACGCAACGAAATACACCCGATGGCGTTCACACAAGAAAACAAAGCGCAGCCAATTAAACGCAAATTCGAACGGATATGTCTAGGGTATCGCCCTCTACGTTGGCGGTCAAAATTCTAGACCCGGACAAGAATAGTACCATAATCGCCAACCGCTGGCACGCGACTGTGGGCGACCCTCACCTTTACCTCTGCTCCCTGGCCGTCCCTTGAGAGGACCACGATATAATGCGGTAGTCTTGTCGCGGACCAACCCAAGGGCAACGACTTGAAGAGGTCAAAGTAGGATACGCTCCACTCGCACGACTCGATACAATACAACTTCGTTTTTTTGCGCTTGCCCCCGTCGCGAACACAGAAGTAATCCTGGTGCTTCTCACCCCGCGAGCATGACGATAGCCGGTGTGAACCCAAGGGGATGGGCGGAGGGGTGCGGGGGACGGGGAGGGAGGGCGCAGACGAGTACCCAGAACATCAAATGGGAACGAGACTTTCACAGCCCGTCGCGACTCAGCGGCAAAGGGTACGATACACCACCAAACACAAATGTAGTCACGGGCGCACTCAGAGACACGCTGGCCGATCACACGACAAGAATACACCGTACCTCTAAGATGGTGCCGAGGCTGCGTACCATTTGTGTAGAGGTCGCGTCGAAGTCCACTATACCCGCAAAACTCTGACGTGGCTAGCCAAGCACGCACCCAGCCTATGACTTCCCGGCGGTTCCGGTCCTCGTCGTGCCGGCCCGATGGTGGTGCTTGAAATAGAGGCACAAAGGCAACAAGGTCATCAGTTGCGTGGCATCTTCCCAAAGAGAGTCGGTCGAACTCTCTGAGGGCGAAATCTCTTGGCTCTTCCACCTCGCAAAAGACCGCAGAGGGACGAGGACCGGGGGACGACTGTTTGTGGTACTTGGGTATGGGTCCGATCTGTGCATCCTCTGTGGGGGATACGTGTATGGGAGGTATGGATGTGATGGGTATGTATGCGGTTGGGGTCCAAGTGCGGTCCCCTCGGGTGAGCACACGGCGGTGTGCTCCCGGCGCTTGCCTGAGGGGCTTGCGTGTTGGTGACTAGCTTGCCTGAGGGGCATGCGTGACGGATACACTAGGAGTATACAATACATGGTCATCCTCGTTTCTGGGATAACATAGTACCCAGTCTCAACACCACAGACCGCTGAGGGCAGCAGTGCACACTAACACGATATTGTAGAGTGGAGCCTAGCTAGGCCAGGTGTTAGTTCGGCGATGACGAGGGTATGAGAGCATGTTATGGAGCTGAGGGCTCGGAGCGTTTTTACGGGGATGGCGGCAGGCGGTCCCAAACAAGAGTGATTTTACGAGGGATGGAGGAACGAAGAGCATCGGCGGCAACGGCGAGCGCGCCGATGGGTTGCGGCAGCGGAAGCTCCAGCATGTGTGGGGGGCCGATGCAACAGCAGCAGCAGCAAGGTATGGGTTGCACTCACGATTGGAGGGATGTCGATGCGGCTGGTGGGTTTAACGTCGGCAGTGAGCCGAGGAGATTTCACGGGCCTCCTCAGTGCAGTCGGTGCGGGGGTTCTGGACACATCAGCATCAAATGCCTGGCACCAACCACGAAACGATCTACTGGAAGACCAACCGATTGCACGGGCCGCCTCAGTGCGATCGGTGTGGGCGTTCCGGACACGAAAGCATCAAATGCCTGGCACCAAACCACGAAACGATCTACTGGAAGTATCACCGACCTGGTACGTTTCAGCAGCAGCGGAGGAGCAGCGAGTTTGGCGGTGTGTGTTGGCAGCAGCAGCAGCAGCAGCAGCAGCCAGGCGTGGTGTATGGCGGAGACTCTCAGCAACAGCCGCGGCAACAACAGCTAGCGGACGGCTTCACCGGGGGTGCAGGTGGACAGGTGCGTGGTGGGGTGTTTGTTGGTGAGAATGGGGGGGGAGGCTGCTGCCGGTTCGTCTGCGGCGTATTTGCCGGTAGAAGCCCCCGCCAACGTAGCTCCTCTCAACGTAAATACACACTCCGCCACTCGCTCTCCCGAGCGGCCCGCAACATCACGTGTAGCACCTGCAGTAGTGCGGCAACGCGATGAGCTGGACCTCATGGAGGGCGGATACAGCAGTAGACGTGTAGAAGAGGAACACATGCTTGGATCGTATCACGTTGTTGTAGTTTCGCCGTCCGCGGAATCACAACAACCCAAGCATTCGTCGGAAGCGGCAGCATCGGCAGGAGCGGCGGCGGCGCGGACGGGTTCGGCCAGCGCGCCGTCACCGACAGCAGCATCGGCGGGAGCGGAGGTGGTGCGGACGGCTTCGGCCAGAGCACCGTCCCCGACAGCAGCATCGGCGGTGGCGGCATCGGTGACGGGGGGAACGGCAGCAGCAGCAGCAGCGGCGGGGTCCACGGTCGCCGCGTTGGCGTTGGGTGTCCAGACGGCCGCAGCGGCGGCGGTAGCGACATCGGTGATGGGGGTAACGGCAACGGCGACAGCAGCAGCGGCGTCCCCGATCGCCGCGTTGGCGTTGGGTGTCCAGACGGCCGCAGCGGCGGCGGTAGCGACATCGGTGATGGGGGTAACGGCAACGGCGACAGCAGCAGCGGCGTCCCCGATCGCCGCGTTGGCGTTGGGTGTCCAGACGGCCGCAGCGGCGGCGGTAGCGACATCGGTGATGGGGGTAACGGCAACGGCGACAGCAGCAGCGGCGTCCCCGATCGCCGCGTTGGCGTTGGGTGTCCAGACGGCCGCAGCGGCGGCGGTAGCGACATCGGTGATGGGGGTAACGGCAACGGCGACAGCAGCAGCGGCGTCCCCGATCGCCGCGTTGGCGTCGGGTGTCCAGACGGGCGCAGGAGCGGCGGCGGCACCGGTGACGGAGGTATGTGACGAAGAGTTGGAATAAACGGTTGGTGCGACAACCATGCCATTGCCAGTCCTGGAGGACCCTGATAGCCGATGTGCTGGGGGGGACGTGAGCAACAGCAGCAGCAACAGCAGCAGTAGCAGCAGCTGCAGCAGCGAGGACAGCGGCGGCGATGGGAGCGGGGACAAGGGGTTGGATGAAATATGGAGTGGGGCCCCGACGCACCCTTTCGACCCCGGGAAGGCTGAGGGGGACGTGAGCAGCAGCAGCACCGGCAGCAGCAGCGAGGAAAGCGGTGGTGATGGGAGCGGGGATAAGGGATGGATGAAACCTGGAGTGGAGCCCCGACGCACCCCTTCGACCCCGGAAAGAATTCTTCGTGTGGCGCGAGAAGACGGGGGCGGTTCCAGGGGTGGCGTACCCCTTCGACAGGGGCAGGAACGGGAGTGGCAGCTCCGGCGGTGGCAACGGCGGCAGCCGCAGCAGCGACGGGAGTGGCGGCTTCGGCCAGAGCTCCGGCGGCGACACCGGCGGCAGCAGGAGCAGCGACGGGAGTGGTGGCTTCGGCCAGAGCTTCGACGGCAGCCGCAGACGGCAGCGGCGGCTTCGGCCAAAGCCTCGTCGGCGGCAGCGGCGACAACGGCGGCGGTGGTAGAGGCGGCAGCAGCGACGTCACCGGCAGCCGTGTTGGCGCTGGAACTCATGACGGTCGTGGCGGTGGGGGAACGGCAACGGCGGCGATGGCAGCGGCGGCAGCAGCGGTTGCGCCCTCGAGTCGACCGGGAACGGGGAGGACACGGTGACAGCGACGACCTCACCTTGTTACAGCCAAGTGGGAGAACATGTGAAACGTTTACGACATTGTTCGGTTTTGTGAGCAGGCATGTACGTTTTAGCTTCGCCATTTGGCTTCGCATTTATTGTTTTGTTCTGTTTTTCCCTTGCTAGCGCACCGTGCACTTTGATGCAGAAAACACGTGTATGCCACGGCGTGTGCGTAAGTTTTTTTTTTTTGGTACTTGGCTTCATGATATAATTGTACGCTGCGACAAGATAATCATCGCCACAAACTGTGGAATAGGAAGCAGCACGTGGGTATTTTTTTTTCCTTGGTTCTTGGCATATTTTCAGTCGCGTTTAACCTTTTGCAGCTGAATGCTTCATACTATTTCCGTATTCTTTGAAGGGAGGACGTTTAGTCGTGTTTTTTTTTCTACGAACTAGGCATTTTGCACTTAGGATGTTGCGATACTTTGGTTCTCATGTGAGGGCCTGAGTTAAGTGGTCGCTCTCTGCGATGTGTTCTGGTCGCGCGCACGAAATGGGATGATAGCGCATTGTTTGACATGCATGAAGGCATACCGATCAGGGAGCAGGAGGCCTTTCGGAGTCCCAGTTGAGGGGACAGTTTGCATACGGTACGGACTTTTTCTGGAGTTCGACGCCTTGTGTGTTACGTGTTTGCATGTTCTGGTTTGTATCGCATGTTTTGCTGCTCTTGCAATGTTTTGTGAAGAGTCATATCTTCGATTCATGATCATAAATCATCAGCTAAAATCTTAATTATGCTTTAGACTTGGATTTTAGCATTGATTCGAGTATAGAATCTGCATATATGATATTCAGGGTGGGCTAGTGTTAAGGAGTGCGGCTGCTAGCATGAATAGGGTACATCTTATTCTTGATAGGATGCGGGTCGGTCAGGAGGTATACCCTTCTGACCCCTGCCCCCTTAGAATTGTCTACTCTGTGTACTCCCCTGAGATGAAGTTGGATCCCCACTTCATCTCAGACCTTTGCTAATCGTCTATCAGCAATAATAACAAGCAACTTTCCCATCTCAACGTGGTCGTGGACAAGCGTGTCAACGACAGAACCTTCATCTATCTCTAGGAGAAGCTACCGCCCACGGCGTCACTCCTTGAAAACTGTCAGCAAACGGTCAGAATAGTTTTCTGGGGATCCCCAAGACAGCCGGTTGATTCTTCGGGGTCTCTCCAACAACAGCAGATACTATATTTATTTATTTATTTTTGCCTTCCGACAATTGCAGATGTACCTC